TAGTGTTATAATAGAAATGTCACAACAACCGGATGGTGGCCATATAGCACCTAGCGTATGCAAATACAGGTATGACCAGTCAGAGACACATAGCAAACAGTATGTAAATGTATGCATCAATGAATTTTGTGGATCTACTTGTGCAACAATTAATGGTTAAAGCATATCGAGTAAATAACGAAGGAGTCAACAAAAGTGCTGCTGAATCTGAGTCTATAAACACACAAAAATGTCTTGAGTGAAGGCTTTCAGTTAATGAATGTCTCTTGTCATCCCACACAGAAGGGTGACTTTCCACATGAAAATATTTCACCACGATGACACAATGTCAGAATGAAGATCTCAATATAACAGTTGCCTTGATATCAAGAAAGTCAATTCTCAGAGATCAGTCACAGTAATGCAGAGTCAAACTGCAATGTTTCACGTGTATAACACATTTAAAGTCACAGCTGATATCTGGAAGTTACAACTAACAAGATCACTGATAATGAACATCAACTTCTACTTCCCTCAATGTTCAGGCTGTGTTCTTCCATGCTGTCGATCCTCACTGGGGGCTCCAAAATGTAGTAGCGGACGAGGTTCCAGTAGAAAGAATAATGCGGAACAGCTACTGGGTTGTGAGCCGACAGCAATCTCTTTATTGTGTAAACACTAATCAGTTTCCAGCTCACTGTGTGGCAATGAGCTGGCAGCAATTAAGTTGACAGTGTCCAATCGGGATATTCTACAAATGTTACACAATGATGAGCAACCAGGAAAAATGGCAATACAAATACAGGACATAAGTTCATGGATTAAAAAGAGAAATTATATTACCTTCAAAGCTGGTAGAATATCTAAACATTTAAATATGCTTATATACTAATTATGAACTACTAGTCAATAACACACTCAATGGCAAGTTAATGTGTTGGTTCAACAGAGAAATATATCTTATCAATGCATTAACTTAATGCATTTAATTCATATACAACTATACAGACATATAAATAAATACATGAATATGAAAGCAAAAGACAAACTGACCTTATAGATACATAAATAGAAGTGAGGTCCACAGTCACTCATTCCACAAAAAAACAAACTATTCGCTCAGCATAACGTGTAGGACCTCTGACTTGTAAGAGTAGTATCTGATAACTGCTTGATGAAATAAAGTTGAACTGTAGGCAAGGAGACTTACATAATAAGGATATGGGACAAGGCAGACAATGCAATGCGCTTATCATTAGAGTGACAGTGGCTATGGTGAAGTTAAGAGTTATATAATTGCTGGGGTAAATCTATTGTTACTTTCTGTATACTGTGTACGTGTTAAGCTTGTACAGGCACTTAATGGCCTAAAACATATTTCTAAAATATTTACAAAACAAGTATAAAATCATCTCGGCCACAGGTACTTCCGTGTTACTTTTATAAAACCAACCTGGTTACATATACTTGAGTGACAATAAAGCACTGGACACAAAAACAATGAAGAAAATTCCGATTCGGGTCATGCTGATATATTTTATCTTGAAAATCCATTACAGTAAGAGGTTTTCACAACTATTATTTGCAAATATCACATACTATCTTGAAGTATCACATACTATCTTGAAAATCAAGTTATTTTGTTGAAAATTCAAAATACAATGAATTCAGCAACAGCACTTTCTGCTTGGCCTGGTAAGCATTTTACCATTCAGAATAGCATCTTAATTTTCAAGATACACAATAACACTTGTGTGGTATAAATGACCTCTGCAGGTAGGTCATAAATGATAATTATAGCTAAAATGCATGGAATTATCATGAAACGGCCCTCCCATTATCAGAAATCTGCGGGCCGCTGCAAATGATATTGGACCGCTCAACCTTAACGACGGGCCACTATCAGTTCTGTTGTCAAGTGACGTCATAGTGGGTGCATGGGCTTACGGTTCATTTAAGAAATAAAGTTCGCTCTACCCCAATGTGTTTTGTAATAAAGTATAGTTTTGCCCTGAACTATTATAATTAAAGCACGAGGACGGTAGTCCGAGTGCTTTGATGTTATAATAGCTCAGGGCAAAACTATACTTTATTACAAAAAACACATTGGGTAGAGCGAACTTTTATCTTTCTAAGATGCTAAATTTAATACTTTCTAAGGATAATTACGATTAATTTAAGGTAGAAAACAAATGACGGTGTCGGTGACCTAAATTAAGAATCCTCGCACAGGGCTAACTGGTGCGCTGTTCTATTGATGTGTCTGCCCCCCTACGTTAAGACGAACGTTACCAGAATAAACAAATGATAACAGTTTGATGACGGTTTACATTCGGATTAAATATCTTCTCTGAATTATTTTAATTACATCTGTCATTAACGTAAACCATATTGGGCAATATGAACGTTGCATTTCTACTATCAGCGTAAGTTTAGATCAGTACATCCAGAGGAAGTTGAGTAGTCAAGCGACATTCCACGATTGCATTGTGGGAATGTAAACATTGCGAACGTTACCGTGTCGCTGAAAACTTGTGAGTCGAATTGACACATTTTAACCGTCGTAAAACATAAACGTAATGTTTCCACCAGTGATGTTAGCTGCGTGAAGCAACTGCAAACCAAGAAACGGGATGCAACGGAGTAGTTTACTGTAGGAGGCCGTACGAGGCGATGACAACTGACATGCATCGTGACGTCACTTACATTGTGACGTAATGTAAAATAATTCGATTACGAGGGGGCACACTAGAATGGCGCAGTGACGGGATAACGTCATTCAATTGTTACGTCATCAAAAAAACTATACCTTTATTGTCTCATAATGTATTTTTTTTTCGATTGTTCTAACAGCTAGGCATCTTAGAATCGACATTAATTGGCTTTCGACTGGCAGATATTCTGGGTAAAAAAAAAGTCAAGCAACCCCAATTCCAGCTTTAAATAGCGGTAATATTGGCTTTCTTGTTGGCGCTAACCTTAACAATTAAGGCTGTTGATGGACCAAAACAGAACACTGACATAGTTTGACATGTTGTAGGCTATGGTATTGTCAAAGGCCAAGGTCGAATATCGTCACTTTCTGTTGTGACGTCACTTGAATTGTTCGATGACGTAATTGCATTCGGGCAGTCAACCCCGTCAGGAGTTGATTTGGGTAAAGTTACAGTCAAATTTCTTCATTGTTTCCTTTTTCTTTTCAACACAAATTCCAGGTAGTTTAGCAATAATAACGGTAATGCTATTTTTGAGGGCATTATCATTTGCAGAAGCCCTCGGTCTTTTTCAATTGCCCTCCTTTGTCGGGCAGTTAATGGAAGACCTCGGGCTTCTTCAAATGATAATGCCCTCAAAAATAGCATTACCCTTATATTATTGGATTAGAATTGAAGGTATCTTACAAAATAAATATCAGCTTGAAGACATCGCAGTTTCTTAGGAGGCATTTGAACTTTCATTATTTTATTCACATCAGAAAACCCTGTGACATATTCAACCCTTATACAATACACAAACAAACATGATTCCCTTTCAATGTACTTTACATCAAGTGTTGATTTTGGTTTGAAATGTTTCACTTTATGATTGACTGTTACCACTACAGTTACAACATTGATACAATGAATGACCAAAACAAAGCTACAGGTATCTACAGCAGATCTGTTCGCGCACATTGATCTTCCACAAAACGGTCACAACAAATACACCTTACTAATATGTGAAAGCACTTGCCAATATGTAAACAACATCCACAGTTTCCAATGGATACACAAGATGACATGGTGACCAGAACTAATTAATCAAGTAAATTCCACAGCTACAATGTGATGTGAAACAGTGTGAAACAAACAATGACATCTTTTAACCCGTGTCCCATAGGTACAAGCAGAACACTTCATTCTCCGAAGCCATAACATTTTCAGCTAGCAATAATTCGTTTACCTATCATTAAAATAACATTTTCACTATTTTATCAATGGTCGGCTTCCACTTTGATAGTGTCTTATGCATTTCACCCCATTCGAGGAAATGGGCATTGTTTCTATGTAAATCTAATGAATATATACTCTTAAAAAAAGAAAATATCCATAAGAAAATTTGAATTTTAAGAAAATATTTGACAGAATCCAATCCATGCTGAATCCCAACATGTGGTGGAATGGTTGCCGACGACAAATCTTTTGCAAAAAAAGATACACCTTAAACAAACATGTAACGTTACATTCACGTCTGTAGTGAATCGCTAAAACGCACCCTACGTGAAATTCACGTGCATCATGAAATTGTGTATCACCTTGAGCTGAAGCCTATGACTGTAGGCTTTAAAAAGCCACATCAGTGGTACTCCACATGCATTGCTTTAAGCCACTATAGACGAAAAGAGAATGAAAAGACTTACAGAAGCTCAACGACAGAACACCATTGGCCGTTTACAAGGACGGTCACTGCAGCAAGAGGTGGCAAGGCACTTCAGCGTGTCCAGACAGACCATCTCAAACCTATGGACCCGATACAACAATACTGGGAGTGTTAATGACAGACCCAGGTCAGGTCGACCCAGAGTTACCACCGCCGCCCAGGATCGCTACATCCCATTGAGATAACTTCATTGAAACACCACGGCCGCATCATCCACGACAGTCCAAATCCCTGGACTGCGCCGAATCTCGGACCAGACAGTGCACAACTGGTTATTTGAAGCCAGACCTTTTGCCAGAAGACCAGTTCAACGTCACGTCGTTCCCTTCATCAACGTCAACGGCTGATCTTTGGAGCATGAAAATGCTTGACCTCACGTTGCACGTGTTTGACAGGACTTCCTCCAGCAAAACAATGTTCAGGTCTTACCTTGGCCTTCTCGATCACCCGATTTGTCCCCCCATTGAACATCTGTGGGATACTCATGACGCTTGGGCCAGCGTAATCCACCACCTCAGACACTACAAAAAACTGCACACAGCGCCTCAGCAAGAGTAGCAAACATTGCTCAAGGCAGCATTCGGCATCTCCTTTCTTCTATTGGTCACCGCTGCCAAGCTGTTATCGATGCTCATGGTGGTCACACCAGATACTGACATTTTACTCTGACCAAGTGGCTTTAACGGTCCTCTGTCGTTTTACCAAACGCTTTATAGATAACTATGTTTTTGAAATTTGTAAAGTGATAACTTAATTGAGCAATGGTGTCATGTTTGAATCAGTTATATGCATTCAGAAAGTAAACTCCAAAACAGCATGTATAGATTCTTTTTTGAAGAATATAGTGTATTCTTGTTCGGGTTTAGAGGACACATAATCGTGACAGTTACTCTCTATACCTTATTTGCGTCCTCCACATCTGATGTAACATGACGTTTTGTGTCAATGTCAGAGGATTTTCTGGAACATCTGCCATTCTTGATTTGTTTTCGACAAGCATGTTTAACGAGAAGGAAAGTGCGTTTGTTTGCCATGAAAGCCAAAAAGATGAACACGCCCTGAGCCCCAGTCAGACAAATAAACAGGTACGAGAAAACCTGACTGCTTCTGTCAACCATTTGTAGAAAACCGAAGACCCAGGCGAAACCAGTGATGCTAGATAGTTTGATGTACATTAAAATGTTCCATTTGTCACCATTGCCGACCTTTCGTCTGTTGGCTGAGGCCCTACACAGGTACACGACGGTCAAGATGAAGAGAGTAAAACTGACCAGTATGGTAGCTCCTGCTGGAACCAGCAACCCAACGATACTTTTGGTTCCATTTGAGATGAAGCAGAAGTTTGAGGTATCTGCATAACCAAAGGATTCAGACCCAGAGACGAAGTAGTTTTCTGTTATCGTTGCAGCAATAACAACAGCAGGAGTGCCATAGCCAAAGATGCAGTATTTGAGGATGATTGTCTTTTTGTTGGACTCAAAACTCCGAGATGCAAATACGTCCTTAAAGACTCTGAAGGTGTGGAAAGAAGAGATATTGAGCCAACAGAAGGATGCAAGCCAGAAGAAGTGGATGACTATTCCGATCGCTAAAGAAGATGTACGATTGTGCGCCTCGTCACTCCCAAAGAAGAAGGTGGCATGTGCCAAGAACAAAGATGCCGACAAGAACATGAGAATCACGCCAGGAAGATTCCTCAGACTAGAGAAGAAACAGTGCAAGATAAAAGTCAGAAGCAGGAACCCTTGGCTAGACACCAGACAGATGTTCCTCAACACCACAGTTGGGCGGTTAAGATCAATTTTGAACTTGTTTGAACCTTGTGAACCAAGAGCTGTCACGCATAATTCCAGTTGTCCTTTTGGTGTGAGGATAAAATCGTTTTCATTTATGACCCTACCACTTTTCAGAACTACAGATCCATTAGGGTAAATGTTGAATGTTGAGTTGTTTAAGATGATATGATTACACTGCAACCGTGAAGTCGTTGATTGTGTTTCAGCTGTTTTAAGGACGTGGTCAGGAGATGTGTTGGTTGATGCTGTGACTGCTGAAGACGAGTGTGATAAGTCCTCGTTCTCACTCATCCCCGTGGTGTTGTGGTGCTGCGAGTGTCCACCAGTGTAGTTGTGTGTGGTTGGAGAGGGAGTAGGGGTATGTTCATTAATTAGTATGGCATCGTTTTCTCTGGTAGGTGATGAAGGCGACGATATAGAATCTCTTGTACTGGACCGTGAATTCACGTGTACCCTTGTTGGATGTTGAACATCTGTACTTGTCGTTAGAGGTTGCACGTATGTTTTTGTCGTAGGATGTGGTCCCACGTGGGGATTAGTTGAAGAACGTGGTTGGATGCTTGTACCTGCAGTATGAGGTGCTGACATGTATTCCTGTGTTGAAGTAAATGGGCGTGGCGTTGTGTTTTGCCATGTCACGTGACACCTCTGAAACAGTGACCAAATCTGGGGTTGTTTTCGTAATATAATGCACATTCAAGCGCAGAACACCACAGACATGGCGAACGATCTGCACGTATAGACAATAGTGATAGAATGTTACTTGAATTTACCGAAATATACTGAAATATGAGTCAGTGTATATAATTTACACGATGAAACAAGATTCCAAATTAAATGTACTAGCCACATAAAGAAACTGTGCATTGTCAAAATATTATCCCACTTGATAAGTACGATAACAATGTCAAAGGTACAACAAATATAAACTTTAATGGAGGGATCATGAGACCATAACAAGTCGGGAGAATTTCCATTGAAAGTCAATCACAATGACGTCACGAGTCCACAAGCAGGACAGGGGTCAAACGACCATGCCACAAGCTCAATAACGGGTATGTCAACCATCGGCATTGAGAACGACGCACAGAGCCTATCAAACGTGCAAGGAAGCCTTTGGCGGATGTCACGCCAGATTCTCTCAAGTTCTGTTGCAAGTTCAAGGACGTTATCTGGCGGATGAGGAAGACGGCGTAGACGTCGATCCATCTCGTCCCAAACATGCTCTATCGGGGAGAGATCCGGTGAATTTGCAGGCCAAGGCAGTTAGTCAACGTTGTGGTGTCCATAGCAACCCTTGCCGTATGAGGGCGGGCATTGTCCTGTTGGAATGTTAACCCAAGGCCATGACGTTGCAGAAAAGGAATTGCCACAGGTCGAAGAATCTGATCCCTGTAGCCCACACCAGTTAAGTTGCCCTGAACAATCACCAAAGGAGTTCTTTGGCGTGCTGTTATTCCACCCTAAATCATCACGGAACCACCACCAAAGCGATTCCTCTCCAAGACACAGGCCTGTGCATAACGTTCTCCCATGCGTCTATAGGCACGTTGACGTCCATCACTATGGGAAATGTTAAACCTGGAATCATCTGTAAAAACAACATTTCTCCACCAAAACAAGGGTCTGCGGACATGATTTCGGCACCACATTCGGCGAGCTTGTCGATGACGTTGTGTCAGGATAGGCTGTATGGCGGGACGTCGTGGTCTGGTCCCGTGATGACGTAAACGTTGTCGAACTGTGATGGGGTGGATACGGCGAAGTCCTGGGATGGTTCGGGCAGTCATCACTGCAGTCTGAAACCTGTGGCGAAAATGGGTCACCCTTATCCATCTGTCCTGTCTTGGCGTTGTTACACGTGGACGTCTAGAACGTGGCCGATCGATGATGTCATTTGTGTTCTGGTAGCGTCTCACCAGTGCAGAAATGGTGTTCCGGTGGCAGTGGAAATGTGCAGCCACTTGTCGTTGAGACATTCCCCCACGGACCATCCCGATGGCCTCATGACGTTGTGCAGACGTGAGCCTTGGCATGCTATGCGTTTCAATAGCCGTTTAACTTTTTGAACGATCGCAAGGGCAGGGGTTGAGCTTTCCAATGTGACAGTATTGTGTGGCATTCATTTGCTCTGTTTCTCTTTCCCGGAATGCACGTGCAACAACGTATTGCACGTCTCAAGGACGAACCCACTGACGTCACGGAACGTGGCACGTGCATGCATGTTGGATACATGTCACTGATCTCTGAGTTTAAATACTTATGTGTCTACACAGGTTTGATAAATTTTGGATTTTAAATTTTTGTGTGCACAGTTTCTTTATGTGCTTAGTATATAAGCAAAAATATAAAAGTATGCTTGAGTCATTTCAGAAAAGTGGCCTGGCTTTAGACTACATTTTTGCAATATGTTTTCTCTGGGGAACGAAAATATGTGGGTTTGCTTCTGAATCTATACTACCCATCAACAGTTTAGACTCACTAGTGTAAATGTAGCCACTTACTTCAACTGTTTAAAGATACAGTTATGATCTGATGTATCGTAAAAACAAATTGGCGTATTCTTAACAAAACTTTACACCAAAACGCAGCTGTTCACATGCACGATATTTGCACATGCTTTTCACACACATATAACGTATAGTGAGTGCTTTAAGTGTCTAAACTTTTGATTTGTAGTACATAACTATGTCTAGTATCAATACACAACCCCAAACCTCACAAGAACATCATCTGGTGAGATTGTTTCAACTAAAGCTGAAGGTTTTTGTACATTTCAATCTCTCTCCCCGCCGAAACCAGCGTCATCAAGCCAGTTGCATTGATGAACAAGTTAAGTAAATGTTAACTTACCCCGTTGTAGTAGACTTGGCCAAAGGGACAAGCGTTGCCTTGATGGACTTGTATGGTTGAAACGACTGCAATTGACGATCTGGTTAAAGGTTTCATCACTGCCACAGTGGATCCGACTACAGGCTCTGTTACCGCCATGTTGGATTTGGCAACAGGTTCTGTGACTGCCAGGGTGAATCTAGTTACAGGTTCTGTGACTGCCATGGTGGATCTGGATACAGGGTTTGTGACTGCCAGGGTGGAACTGGATACAGGGTCTGTGACTGCCATGGTGGAACTGGATACAGGGTCTGTGACCGGCATGGTGGAACTGGATACAGGGTTTGTGACTGCCATGGTGGAACTAGATACAGGGTCTGTGACTGCCATGGTGGAACTGGATACAGGTTCTGTGACTGCCATGGTGGATCTGGATACAGGGTCTGTGACTGCCATGTTGGAACTCGATACAGGTTCTGTGACTGCCATGGTGGAACTGGATACAGGTTCTGTGACTGCCATGGTGGATCTGGATACAGGGTCTGTGACTGCCATGTTGGAACTGGATACAGGTTCTGTGACTGCCATGGTGGATCTGGATACAGGTTCTGTGACCGCCATGGTGGATCTGGCCACAGGTTCTGTGACTGCCATGGTGGATCTGGCTGCAGGGTCTGCGGCTGACACGTTTGATTTAGTTACATTGTCTCTGCCTGACATGGTGGATCTGGTCCCCGATCCATTGAGGGCCATGGAGAGTGTCACAGCAATGATGACAATACATATCGACACTGCAATCCGCTTATTAGATGCCATAGTGAAGGAAGTGAAATCACAGCGTTCCTATCATTGTACATTGTACATATAGCTATCGTACATATTTATAACTGTTCCACACACTAAACATACCTCCCTTTCAAGAGTCAAGCCCATGTAAAGTTCCTGCTCACAGCCTCGAACACCATCACATCGTTTTTGCAGTAATGTATTTATGGACGCTAGTCAACGCTGTTGTCGTGTATTAAATACTCAGCTATAACAATGACGGGTCTTCATCAATAATTGGAATGCGAAATGAATATCCCGCGAAAGAACAAAACTCGATAGGGAGTATTCGGATTACACTTTAAGCATTATTTCTCAGACATAACCGATTAATTTGGCAATCATCTAAATTCTTTCGTGGATTGCTGAAGTAGGAGGCTTGATTGGTTTTTCGAATTATTTTGTAAAAGTTATAATCACACGTGTCAGCAAGTTTCACCTCTCACATTTGGTCTGACGTTTCCCACAGAAACGATAATTTTGAGTTTGTTGCAATATTGCCGAATGCGGCGTAAAACAAACACCACGTACATTTTTCGTATGTCGTAACGTATATCAGTATGTCTTTAGTGGTGAAATGATTAAATTGTATATCCCTCGGATGAACAACGTTTTCTACAGAAACTATTTTCAGTGTTTATTTAGGGAATGTTTTGAAGATTAGCAAGTCATAAAATATATTAAACCTTTGTTTTGCTTTTAAACAATATTGGGATGACACGTTTTCAGTACAAATTCTGGTACATTGTGGGGATTGAGTCCTATCGGGGATTCGAACTGGGAGACACTGGTAGGGTGAGGAATTTAGTTCCCTTTAAAGCCGCATTCAATAGTTTATCAGTTATTTCACAGCTGTCAGCTTGGTGTGGGATGAATGCACGAGTGTTTCATTTGCTACAATATGCCAGGAAAACCGCTTTCTAATAAAATGTAGACAAATGCCTCCTACTCCGTCAAAGGTCAGTTTGGTCAATCTTGTCCATATGACGTCATTTAATAGTCATTGACTGTCATGGACAATCGAGGACGTCAATTGAAGCGACAATGTCTTGATAAGATGTCACGCTATATATGATTGGTTGGTTTGTTGTTTGTTAGTCACCTCTTACGACAAGCATGGGTTGCTGAAGACCAATTAGAACCCGGATCTTCACGGGATTCACAGTGTACACGAGATCTGGTAGACACCAATTAATACAACGAAACAATTAGCTTGAACCAGGAAGCAATCTTTTAGCATTTAAGTGGTCAGTAAAGTTTCCACTGACATCCTACTTCAATGTTTACTGCGAAGATAACCCATACTATTCATTTCATATCTATGTATAAAAACGTATGCCACAAGTCGAGTGAAAATGTTCTTTATTCAAAACGTCTTTTTTCACAACCGCAGTTTGACTAATAAGTTTTAACAGGACCAAAATAACATTTGAAAAATATCCGTGTCGTGAGCTTGAATGTGTAGGATATGGTGAGATATGATCCGCATGCTACTGGACACATTTACGGATATTCTACCGTTACAATGTCCTTTAACCGGCTCAGACCATGACGAAGCGGATACGTTGTATTCATTGCAATGACTCGTCAAAATATACATGAAAGATCGGACCTCAGATATAACCCTTTAATGTCGGGTTCAGCCAAAAATTGCATCTGTATGTAATACATCTGTTTAGGTATATACAAGTACTTGAAGAAGTAGGTCAAATATATACTGTAGTGAAAATAACGCAACACGAAAAGGTTCTGTTGTGATGTGTTCTGGAAACGTTCCTGTAGTCGAAAGTGTCAGTATTCCTTTGAAAGTGTCAGTATTCCATTTGAGTGTAATGTTATTATGATAGATTTAGATTTACTTCATTTGTTAGGTA